CAAAATGATGAAAAATGCCTTTGCGGTGGCAAACTTGTTACATTCACACTCTCCTAAGCTTCTGCGCCTGGAAGCACTTAAAGGGACCCCCTCAAAACCTAAAGGCTTTCCACGTTTTCCAAAGACTTCTCTACAGCACGCTAATGTTCTCAAATTCTCCTATAAGAATTACACATAGTACAAAACGATTATATTTTAAAATTTCGGGAGAGAAAATCTACGATCAGTGAACTTGCCGATAGCGATGTGGACTGCTGCTGTGGCGAAGTCGGAGGTTTCGTGTACAGTGCTTACAATCGAATTCGCCGAGCCCGCACCAATAATTCCAAAGCGAATGTGGGGAGTTTGCAATTGTTCCGTACCGGGATCATCGATGTTTGTTCCTAAGTTCTCGCGTTGAAACACATTTGTACATAGAGTAAACAAAATGGAACTAACCCGCTTCCAACTGGGTGCGAAGAAGAGCACCAGAGAGGAGTTCATTAAAAAGTCCGTCACCGCCTACTGAGACCTAAACAATCTAATTCTATCAAACTTAAACTTTGTCCTCTTTCGACCCAAATCCAGCCTTCCTCGCTGTAAAAGAGAGGGTTTTAGTGCCTACCAGACCGTCTATGGATTGCCATTGTTCCGACGGCATTTCTATGATGTAGTCACGTGCGTGATTCGCTCTCTGTGTCATAATCACTTCAAAATTGAGTCCTGGAGTTAATTTGAAGAAAGTTTCTACCTAAAGGCAGAATGGGAAAATTAGCTAGCCAATCATAGTAAAACGAGGATCTCACATTTTTCTGAAAGATTGATTGGGCTTTTCCTTTACCGCCGAAAGGATTGATAAAGACGATTATATTCTTTGGGCGATTGCGAACACCTGCAATTTCAGTGAATGGTTTCATTTATTAGCAAATGATTTTATAGCTGTTAACCGCTAAGAGTTGCAGTGATTATGCTCATCCAGTAGTCTCGCTCTGGTCTTGTTTTAAAGGTAACCGGAAGCTGCTTCAAACGCCAGCGATACTTGTCTTTTTTGTAGACGAAATTGAAATACAAGGTCGAATCTGATGGTGAAACCTAAAAATTAGTCAGATAAGCTGAAACTTCCTATCTATATAGACTGAATTATTGATTGAAGATTTATTTGCTCCCTATATCACCATCGAATCGGAGTAC